CGGACTTGGACGCCGTGCGACTCGTCTTCTTTTCCATTAGCGCTACTATTAGCCGTGCCGGGACACCACGGCAAATACTTGACTAGCAGCGCGCAAACTACATCTCTTCGGTAACTTAATAGGAGTACAAACACAACTCGATCGAACATGTACGCGCGACAGTCTTCCCATCTCCTCTGCGCCGTCATTTCGTTTAGTGCTCGCCGAAAATGGGTCTTTTTGTCTTTATCACCAAGTCATTATTCTCTCTAAGATGTGTTTTCCATGCTTTTTAGGGGCGCGATCCCTACTAGGGTGATTCTTCACTCATTTTCAATCACTGAAGTCTTGAACGGGCTTCCATCTCTCTCGCTAACCCCGACAGGCTTAGGAAAAAAACGTGCGCTCTCTTTTATCCCAACTCACATCATCTCATCCTCACCCCCCCCCCCCCCTCATTTATGCATCCCCCGTTGCCTAAAACGCCCTCAGTCGTTATATCGAACCGGTAAAAGGAAGGATGTTGGAAAGTGCTCAAATTTTCCGCAATCAATTCTTAAAGGGTAGTTTCCTTCCTTCGATCTCCTCCCCGAAGCCCGCCCCGAGTAAGCCCGCCCAACCGCATCCCTTGCCGTCGATCTTCGCCAAGAACCTGTTGGTGTTGTTTTTAACCCCTCTCATTCTCTCTTGTCTAATTTTGGAAAAAACAACGATACTTTGATTGATACGAGAACAAATTTATTTTGACATAATTGTCTTATTTACAAGTTTGATTAATGGACTCAGTTAACAAAGTTCCTGTCGGTGTAAGGGTGGCGGAATAAATTAAGATGAAAAATCTAGGACGCAAAGTTGACTTCCATGCTAATTGCTTTAATACTCGGATAATGTTCACCGAGCGAAGTTGATCCGATAAACTTTGTTAATCAAGGGATTGCGTTAAAATTCCCTTTGTCATCATGGTCATGTTTGTTGCTCCATTTTAAAGACGAGCTAGAGCAAAGTACCGGACAGGTGATCATTGTTGGGAAGTAAATGTTGTACCTGAAGTTAAATATTTGAGAACAACACAGAATAAATGAGTTGAATGTTTTTAACAACTAAAATGATTACATTGACACTTCCTCTCTGATACATAACATTTCTTAAATGCCTTAACATGGCAAGCTGTAAGTATGTAATTTCACGGCTCTTTGAAGAATGCCTTCAGATCTCATTCATCTGAATTTCTTTGTTTGTTTCTTTTATCCATCATAGATGTTGGAATGGAGACGATTCAAGTGACCACTCAGCACTGATATCACTTTTTTTTTTAAAGTGATTGAGCTATCCTTGATCATTTGGTCATCGTTGTTGGACCGTTGGACCATCGGTTACGTGAAGCAACGACCGACGGCAGACGACAAGGCAAACCCGATACCGTTGAGGAGTATCGGTGTTAAATTTTCGCGCCATTTTCCGCTCTCTTTACACCAACGTCGCCTCATCACCGATCGAGAGATGGAGGCTCCCCCTCCTTTTTCCTCCTCCTCCCTCTCTCTCTCTCTCTCTCTCATCTATCTATATACAATATTATATATAAATATAACCAAAAAAATCCATTTGGATAATCCTCCATCACGGTAATATCACAATAATGATTTAAAAGTTGTTTCATTCATTATATATACATATATACATAATTTCTTTCCTCCCGCGTCCCCCGTCCCCCGTTCCCCCTCTCTCTCCTTCAATCTGTCTGTCCCTTTCTCAATCAAGATATTGATGTATCAATCAGCTCTTATCTCTGCTTTTTGCTTCGTTCTACTCTTGTCTATGTATCTCTCTATTTAAATACCTATCCATCTATCTTTCTTTCTCTCTACCAATATATATATATATATATATATCTTTACTAACTTCTTTCCTTCTTTTTTTTCTTTCTTTCTGTCTGGACAAATAACCTTTCGATTTACCTCTTACAGCAACCTCTCTTTCTCACTTTAACATCCTCACCCAACTTTTTGCCATTCTGTCCGCCCATTTAAATCTATTAATCTATTATCCATCAATCTATCCATCTATCCATCTATCCATCTATCAATCTATCAATCTATCCATCTATCAATCTATCCATCTATCAATCTATCCATCTATCAATCTATCCATCTATCAATCTATCCATCTATCAATCTATCCATCTATCAATCTATCCATCTATCAATCTATCAATCTATCAATCTATCCATCTATCAATCTATCCATCTATCAATCTATCCATCTATCAATCTATCAATCTATCAATCTATCCATCTATCAATCTATCCATCTATCAATCTATCCATCTATCAATCTATTAATCTATTAATCTATCCATCTATCAATCTATTAATCTATCAATCTATTTATGTATCTATAAGTATACGTATTTTGTATCTATCTATCTATCTAAATATATGTTTATACCTATATAAATTATATGTCTATCTATCTATCTTTCTTTTTCTATCTCTCTCGTTTTCTCTCTTTAATTTTGTTCTCTCTCGCTCTGTCTTTCTGTCCCCTTTTGCTACCGCCAAATCAGGCGTATTTCCGGCGGCATCGCGTATGTGTAACCCTACCTCCCGTTCGGCTCTTAATAAAAGATTTTTTCCTTCTTATTCGTCTTCTTCTCCTTCCTTTCTCTGATATTGTCCCTCTCCTCAGACTTTTCTTGAACTTCTTCGTGTAAGAGAATCCTTACCCATCTACAGGAGATGGCCTCTCAATGATGTCCTCGCTTTCATCAGCATACTTCTCTATTTTGTTTCAATAGGATATCTTGTATAGGGGCGTCATTTCAATTAGACCATTTGCACGAGGTTTGTCGTGTTTGTTGGGATTTACATGGCGTGATTATCTGAATACTGAGAAATTACATTTGCCATCGCTATTAAGCTTCGTGTTTCCCCCTTTTCCATACAACTTTGAAATGTGAAAGTTGTACAGCCAAACATCCTTCTCCTAGCTCCTCCCGATCCCTCCTCCTCCTTCTAGTCGGTTAAATATTCTACTCGTGTTATAACTTGAAAAAAAAAATCGGAATTTTCTTATAAGGCTTACACAAGCGCAAGTTTCGGAGAGACCGCCCCAACCTTTTAATCATGTTAGATGCAAAATGAAATGACGACATGAATTACGATAATTGTTTTAATTAAATTCACGGAGATAAAAATTGTCACTGATCAAAACCACCCCAATTTTCTTTTTGAAATGTAGACATGAATGCCCTCGATAATTATGTTGTTGAGGGTCTCTGCAGGGCATGTTCAAAATATGAGATTTACATAAGTGTTGCGCATTTTCTAGAGAGTGCCATGAATAAAATATTGTAAGAAATGCTCGGTTAATGAAGGAAGCAACGTGCTTTAGCTAGGTTTTCTCCTCGAGTACCCCGATATTAAGAGTAAACCTAACATTGAGCTGGGACATTGAGGCCAAGCGCATGATCCATGCCCGAGTTCAGGTCTTTATTAGTATTTGCTTAGCCCTCTCTCCTGGAGCGGGGTGCTCTCGCCACTTGCACGGGGCTCCGTCGGCCAATTAAGTCGGCGCGTGGCCGATACAATACCCCCACAATGTTTGGCTCTAAATCGAGCGAGAGAAGAAAAAAGGGGAGAGAAAACATAATAGTGACCAAATCCCCACCTCAATCGACAAAGCTAAACTCTCCAATCCTATTCACGATTCTCGCTTTCCCGTCTTTTCTTCCTCTGTTTGAAAACCGTACGGCCACTGAAACGATTTGCTTCCGACTTAGGCTCAACTTTTTAATAATCACAACTTACACAATTCACGCGCGTGGCAAAGCTAAGCTTTTCGTATTGACTGCCTCCCGTCTTAGACACACATACCATTGACAGGCCCGATCTCAACTAAAAGAACCCCTTTTCTTATCCAGTTTCCTGTCCAAGCTCTGTGTAAAGAATTTCCTTTTGGAGAGTAGCGGGATAATTTTGGTTAATTGACGCCGAGCCGGGGTAATCTTAATTTCATTTTGAAAGCACGGAAGCCTCTTGATAAGACAATATTAAGATCATCTTTTTAATACGGCAATTGAGAAGACCCAATAAGACGGTTTCTCACGCAGCGCTACAAACATCATCTGTAGACAGAGATAATATTATGTTTGAACCGAGTCATTTCTCGTTATCATTTTTTTTTCCAGAAGATATCATAGAAATTATATTGATTTTCTAAAGTAGGCTATCTGAAATTGGATATTCTGTCACGAGAAACTAACTGCTTACGATGTAAACCAATTGTGCCGTATTGCTATAATGAAAGAGTCTTGGAAAAATATTCAATCAGTAAAAATTTAAAAGATCATTCAAGAATCATAACGTTCGACCCATAACTTTAGTTTTAATGCACACAATAATATCGTGGTTGGAAAAAAATATCCCATGTGGCTCAGTGGTAAGTACACGGTCTTGGAAATTGAGGGGTATGGGTTCGAACCTATTCAAAGTGCTTCAGGATGAGCATCAATGTTGTCAAATACAAGGTATAAGTCACTCTTTCTCTGTCTGCTTCTCTATACAAACATAATTGCTTTTTAAAACGCCACAGGTGAAATAAGATCCAATCCAAACACGGAAAGCAGTCAGAAACTATAATTGGGCGGTTTCTTCACTTCCCTGTGATGAATGTCGTGTTTTCGAGCACAGGCACAGCAAAATACAAAAATGATAATAATAGCAGGTGTCAAACGAAACATTTTCTCCACTCTGCCACTCTCCACCCAGGTGTTTAATGCGCGCGCATCACGTAAGATGCGAAAAAATGCACACACCTGTAAACTGATCGCACGTCATGCAAGGGGAGTGGAGAGTGTATCAGTGGAGAATCGTAAGCAATGCAATCTAATCCAATGACAAGGGTGCATTATACTCTGAAGCGCTTTGATTATTTTATTTTTTTAAATATTATTTGTTTTAAAAAAATGGGTGTTAGTAGTACTATTAATTGAATTGGTCTTTTGAATTGTTTTATCTTTTTACCTGTGCGAGGCATGCGGTGAACACTGTCAACAGTGGTAGTAGTGGAAGGAGGATAAGGAAAGGCTGACCCACCTACGAACAAAAATATGGAGGAAGATGGAAATTACTTAAAGATGTTGGTGATAATAAAAACATTACGTATTCTGATGACAGGTCTATCACCAGAGTCAAAATTATTGCTGTCAAGCTAGGTTTGATATACCATGTACTTTCCATCCTCATTCTCTCTCTCTCTCTCTCTCTCTCTCTCTCCCCCCCCCTCTCTCTCTCTTCATTTATTTCTTTTATTTTGTCTTCTTCTTCTTCTTCTTTTTCTTCTTTTTCTTCTTCTTCTTCTTCTTCTTCTTCTTCTTCTTCTTCTTCTTCTTCTTCTTCTTCTTCTTCTTCTTCTTTTTCTCCTCTTTTATTTCTTCCTCTATTTATTTCTGTTTATGTATAATAAATGTCATTATATAGTTATTCGTATATCATTATAATACGGCCGTTATTATTAATACTATCGTCATCATCATCATCATCATCATCATCATCATCTTTATTGTTTGTTTTATCCCCCCCCCCCCCAACCTTCCTCCATCTTCCTCCATCCTCCAATTTTCTTGTCTCTAGCAAAGGTCGAGAGGGCGTGCTCGTACCTGATGGATTCGTGTCCAGAGTGGTCTGATGGTCTGCAGTGTTGTATTTGTTGTCATCCAGATTGCTCTTGGCCCCTGGTGTATAACCTGCAGATGGGAATAAGGATGGGAGATAATTGAAAGGGAGAGTAAAATAGTGACATGGAGATGAAAATTAAAACTTATTTTAGAAAATTTAGGGTGATCAAGACAAAAGAAATCGACAACCAAGAAGAAAAGGAAGACAAAGGTGGAAGAGTAGGAGAAGACGGAGAAGAAAAAGAAGAAACATTCCATATTCCCCAGTAATGTAAAATAAAAGATAAGGATTCTAATGTGATAACTCCAAAATGCAAAATACTAACTGATTCCAAATTTCCCCAGTTACGTTATTAATATTTGAAACATCTTTACATTTGGCATTCTCCTTATGTATCGATACAAAAAGCGCAGCAGGGATGTTTTACAGAAATGGGGTGGGTTTTTGATGAACTCGATGGAATTAAAGTATTGTAAGACATTCTATCAGCTCTGAGTATTTTGGCAGAACATTTATTTGTTCTTGGAGTTTTCTCTGCGCATGGCTGTTGACCTCCATTAACCGTGTCACAAATCGATCTAATTTTTGTTCTTTCATAATTATCCATTTCAATTTTTACTCTTTTTTTTATATAAATAGTCATGATGATATTCAGGTTAATCTACTGCGGATGTCTAATGACCCCCGGGGCTAATATGTTATATATTGCGCATGTGCGATGACCTACGTACCTTGAGAGGAGGGTGGGTTCCTCGGGCTGGGCTGCAGCGCTTTGTCTATATCATCTGACGTTAGATTAGGCAGTGGAGCTGCAGAAAATTTAGACAAAAATTGTAAAATTATAGATGAGTATGAAATCGAAAGGTCCATCTATAATTGGTCGGGTATAACGACTTAACGAGGGAAATTTGAATCAGCTAGTTTCGTACTTTTTTGTAATTGACTTATTCTTCATCTAGTAAAAGCCCATACTACGATTAATTATCATAAATTAATTGAAAAAGAAAATTAAAGTTGCAGAGCAAAAGAGCAAGAGAATATCACCATGATCACGTGACAATTACCACCCAATACACTGAGACTTACTTGTAGTTCAAAGCTTCGAATCTAATGAGAGAATATTCATAGATTACAAAATATAATTATGTCAACAAAAAATTGAAATATTATATTTTTTATTTCAACGAGAAAGGTTCGAAGCTCCGATTAATTTGTCAAGTCAGTTTTGCATTTCAAACCAAAGAGCTTTAAAGATGGTTACTGAGAATATGAAATGGTAATTTTTATTATCTAAATATAATGATTGAAGACATTGATATTCATGTGAGGGCTGTATTTTTGCCAACAGTATGCAAGTATAGTTGTATAATTATGAAATTCATTAATATTAAGTCAATAATAGCAAAACAGATTCTGATTACAACAGTCTGGTTAAGCAAGAGATCAATGTAGAAATTTGAAATATCAAGCGTAAAAGCATGAACAAAATTAAGTAAATATAATCTAGCTGTGACTGTTTGATGAATGTGTCACCTTTTTAAAGGTAAACATAAAACAAAACAAAACAAACGAACAAATCAAAGCAAGATTAGAAATAAAATACAGCCCTCTCTTTTAATATGCAAAGGAAATTAACCTCTCTGTCATCTCAATACACCAAATTTAATTTTCTTTGATAGATACCCATGTAATAGCATGTCAGGTTAAACATGAACTTTATGAACTTCTCCCACACACTCTGCTTTGAAATCGATTCATCTGGCGAGTAAAAAAAGTCATTGAGATTTATCCTTTTAACAAGAAAGAAGCGCGTGTAATTTTGATTTGAGCGCGCGTTTTTTTTTCTTTCGCCCTTCTCAATAAGCGACGGGAGACGAGATTGTGATGTAAGTCATATCAATTAATTTCTAACCATAAGAGAGGGGGAGGGAGACGTTCGATAGCGCCGCTACTCGAGGGCCAACCTCTCAAAGAATGCGATTAATACAAATTTCGTCGGAGAAAGACCACTTCTACTCCGGAGAAGTTATTGGGGGTAAGGTCCACTTTTTTATGACACCTCCTTCACTTAAAGGTATTCCCCCTTATGTTAGCGATTGCTCTGGCCCCTTAGCTTCATAGAATTCAAATGACTGTCGCTGAAGCCAATGAAACAAGGTCATAAATATGTGGGCGTCAGACTGATGTTCAAACATTGTCGCAAAATGTCGCAATTTGTAATAATTTTAACATGAGTGCTTGCTTGTTTTCTATGAAAGGCCGTGTGTTTGGATGTAAATCGAGGCATATTATATTACGGCTGCCATATGTTTTATGATATTATGAGTCTGCCTTTGGATGTTCATGTAGAGAAATACATTTGTAATTAATTGTTGGAAGCCATCAAATTACTAAAAGCCTCTTCTTTCTATTCCATTTTTTTGATAACAACATTCAAGAACTATCCTTCAAACATTTAACGAATAAGGTCTGATGGACTTCATTATTGTGATCACGGTTCGACTTTTAAAGCAAGGCTGCCATCTACGGTATAGCTGAAACACTTTGTTCAGATGTTGATTATAAAAAGCAGTTCATTGGTATAGAAAGTAAAGCACCCAATTTTTGAAATTGAGTTGTGTGCTATCGGCAATATTGTAGCATAATGTGTTCTGATATCTAAACCTCACATGAATTTTATCCAAAGATTATAACAAATCTTGCAATCGTTTTTTAATAGATGTCTGACGCATGTAATGTTTTGAATTGTTTGCCTGCCTGATTGTTACCGTAATATTCATGTTGTTCAACATTCGGAATGCTCCAGCGTGATCGTACAGGACGTTCGTTTCAGAGCTACGCAGTAGAGCGCCATCTATGTGCCATCTGCTATATAGGTTAGTTGTCTGCTCCAGAGCTGTACACTCAGCCATAGAGAAATACTTTTTGTACATTTCCTACTTTCAAAAGAGTCCCTCAAAAATGGAGGGAAAATGAAAAACAGATGGATGGCCTAAAATATACATAAGACGTAAATATTCTGTGAATTATATCGTATGTGTATATGTTATGATTATTTAAACCTGATGGTCAGTTTATTAATGTATTTATGTTTTGTTCGTTTTTACTTGTTTCAAAGTGTCATTATAGGATAACTTTCAGAAACATTAGTTGATTTACAACGTGAATCTGTTGCTATGAATTTGTAATGTTAATCGTGTTTATAATAACGTATTGTAGCATTGTCATTCCTGCCTTGCAACAGCACTGACAGGGTGGATGGCGAAAGATTGAGGCACGAAAGTGTCAAAAGAACTGTATCCAGAACTCGACCCTGGTGAAAAAAATAAAAGGGTATAGTTTTCTCTTTGAACATGCCACATACTCGTCTTGCGCAACGAAGGGCAATCTAACTTGTCTTCGAGGCTCTACCGTAAATCTCCCCCTGTTTCTGAGTACCCATGTGGGGTTTAAAGATAAAGTCAGTTATGGTCACCAAATGCCGTTGTAAAATTAACTGACTAGAGGTTTTGTGAAAACGTCGATTTTTTAGAACAAAAGAATGATATTCCATAATTATTGCAAATTTGTTTGGAATAAGCAAAATGACAAGTAATTTTTATTCAGTCTTGGAGAAAATCACAAAGAGTGACAAGCACAACACAACGATGCGGGTACACGGGACTAGAGGACAATTTGACATCTTTATTTGGTCCAAAAGAGTTAAACCATTACTGCTACTAGTCATATTTGAAACTATGAGGCATTTCAAATGTGTTATGATCCTATGGTATTTCATCCCTGGGGGAAAATTAATAAGCTCACCAATATTCGTTTTCGCCCTTACCAGAACTTAACCTTCTTTCTCCTTAAGAAGTGGGAGGGAAGTAGCTTGTTAGCGAAGCTTGTATTACGAGGCATCGTCCCGATAGATCCCTTAATTGCGTTCGTGACACGTACGGTAAGGCTAGGGGAATTTGGGCCGGGCTTACATGCAGAGAGATACACGACGTCCGGTTTAGCTAGACGCCATCTTGTTTTTCCTGAAACTGTCGCTTTTTCATCTCATCCTTTAATCGGTAATAACAACCGGTGTTTCTGTTGAGTTATGGAAATGCCCCTAAAATGGTATACATGTCAATGTGTGTAATGTAAGACAAAAAAAATGTGGGCAGCATTAAGGTAACGTTTAATCGCATGGAAGTTTTAATCAGTGTAGTTTGAGTTGTCTGTAAAGTTGGAAAAATAAGTATTTGGCTTGGTTGTGAGCTTAGGTCGACGCTAAGCTATACATCATGAAAAGTTCAGGTGGATTTAAGCCAATAATTTACTTTTGTTAAGTTCTAATTCATGGCACTTATTGATGTAAAGATCCTAGTTTGTTGTTGATTGTAAAGTACTACTTCACTGAAACATCATTATGTCAGAAGAAAAAGGATAATATCTTTATGGCTGTTTTAATGAATTACAATTTGTTTTAAAGCAAAATGGGGAGTATTTATAACAGAATAAAAATGGATCTGCTTTTGATCCCTTTAAAAAGACACTGACTGAGAAGGCTGGCAAAGAAGGGGCAGAAAATAATGTTTTACGTTACTCTGATAGAATAGATAAAGAGGGAAACGAATATGAGAAATAAAATAGAATATGAGATACGGGCGGTGAGGAAATCGTTGTTAATACATCGAAACGAGAAAGAGGAAGAAACAGAAAAACAGCATTTTTCAAAAAGAGAAATTCAATGGAAAAGGAAGGAAACGGGGAAAAGTGACAATTACATTAGAGAGAGAGAGAGAGAGAGAGAAGGAGAGAGGGAAAGAGCGAGAAAGAGAACGAGGACATTTGAAGAATAGAACAAGAGGAAGGAAAGGAAACGGAAAGTGACAATAAATATAAACAGGGGACTCTGATATGCACGGTTAAATGTCACTGAAGAAAGCAGTATGAGCGACAGTTACCCAGAAAAGACAAAGGCAAGCCACGACGGAACAGAGGAAGAACTCAATGATCTGCCCCCTCCTCTCACCCCCCCCCCCCCCCCCCTCCCCATCCTCCGTTAAAGTTAAAGTTGAATTCTGGTTATAAGACTGCATTATAAATACAATTGTCTTGAAGCAATTGAGAAATGTTGATTATGTATTACATGAGAATACATGTAGGTGTGTACTATGAGGTTTTGGAATATATCTAAAATATAAGTAATTGATCAAAACTTCCTAGATGTTACATTTACTATGCACACACCAAAATGTGCAAATGCACAAGCATGTGGAAGGAGAGTCTTTTAGCCATCTCGAGTATTTTTTTTTAATATGAGGGCATTTGGAGGGCAATCCCTTATAACGGATGTTTCTTCTATGGTTAATCTTCAACAAATATTATTGTTCTGACCTTTCAAAAGATGAGAAAGCTCACGAATTTTAGTTTTCCTTCAACTTTATTAGAACTCAACTTTTTCTTTAAACCCTTGTTGTCAAGATAGGTACCCCTATGAAGGATTATGATTACCGAGTTCCGATAAGCGGCTTCCTAATTAAGAGCGCTGAGCTATAGGGTCAATTAGAGCGTTCGCGGACACTTCGAAAACACGAAGAAACAGGTGAATGGCGTATTCATCGGAGCGAAGGGGATAGGGGAAGCTTAGAGAAGGGGCGTACCCCCTTTAAATAGAATAAAAATTGATATTGTTATTTCTCTCAATTGTATCGTAAGGCTATACGAAATGTATAAAGTTGTCGGTCTTAATATATCTGCAGAAATGGAAAATGATGGTACAGTCTTGTAGAGACGAATAGCGAAAGAGGGGAGGGGATATTTAAAGAACATGGTGATTTAGTTTTAAAAAGAACCTGTCATGTTTTTTTTCTTTCTAAATTGATATGCTTATGCAATATAAAGTCCCGCATTGCGATAGAAATTTGAAGACCGATAAACACGCCTAGAAAATTCTTAAATACATCTGAGGTTAATGAAATACAAACCCCCTTTTTAATTTTGAAATCCTTTCAAAATAATATCAAAATTTATCCTTAGTTATTGTGAATTTTTTCAGGTGGCAAAGTGAACTAAATTTATTCCATGTCAGCAAAGAATGGTGTATATCTCTTTTCCCCAACCACCCTTTTTGAAAAATACATTTCACCTGGACACGCCCATTTGTAAACAACCTGTTGTCTTGTGCCCTAGCACCGGATCTCCATGATTCCCCCTAATCAAGCTAACTCCTCCCCCCTCGTTGTCTGGCTGTCTTTGTGAATAAGGGTTAAGCGACTTGAGGGGGTACGCGCGTGCTCAGGTGTGCTCTACCGCTGCCACACGCGCTCGACAGGTGTAAGTGACGGGGTCATGACCCAGGAGAGTTTCGGCGTGTGGCATGTGTCAAGGATCAACATAAAACCGAGTTTTCTTCTTTTCCTTCAGATCAACTGTCAACTGATCAGTTTTAAAAAAGATAGATAGAACCGAAAAGTGTTTTTATATGGCGAAAAGAATAAGATTGCTTTCCTAAATCTCTGGCATCTTTATATGATTTAGTTGTTGTTTAATGTTGTAGTGTATGCGGAAGAAAAGGTTGTTACACTTCTTTATATTTGATAACTGTGATCTAAACAAGATGTAAAGCTCTTTTCATCAACATAAACAAAACAATCAAGCAAACAAACAGTCAACAAAACAGAAGCGTTATTTTGATCGAAATATGTATACAAACATTTCAACGCATACTCTTAATAATTGGTTGTTTTCATCTTCCATCCGTAAAATTGCTCATGATATACAACGTGATTAAAATATTTAGTGCAAGATTTCGTCACGAGAGGGGGTAATCACCTTAAAAGGATTTTGCTTGCAAGAGTGTGATTTGTTCCCATTTCATGTTTGTCCTTGTTTTTCATGTAGAATGTTTCCCGCTGTCTGTATTCCATTAGGAACAGTATAATACTTTGTTCGTCCTATGGCAATAAAGAGGACAATTTCTTTGATAAGCATGTGTGTTTCTAAAGCTACCTTAAAGCAATGCTCACAGTCTATGGCCAGTTCGTAAGTCATTCGTGTGTATCACTTTTAGCTGAAGATGGCGGCGATTTTTTGTTTTCCTATCTTGATCGAAGGAGGAAGCGTCCTTACATTTAGGCAGAACGAGGAAGATCAATAAAAGGTATAAACATTTTACTTCGCGGACCTTCAACATTTGTGTTGTTGTAGAACCAATGTCCAGTATATCATTCAGCATTATTGCATATGTCCCCCCCCCCCCCCCCCCCTCATGGACTGATTGCTGAATATATCGAAGATTTTCTTACCTTGTTTAAGGAAGGTTAGATGTGAGATGAGGACATCTACGTTGAGGTTGTTGGTCAGTCTGCTGAAGTCGTCTCTGGTCATCTTGCAAAGATGTTTCCCGTCCATGTTAAACCTGGACACCTGGACATCCACCAGGGAGTATTCCCTGACCGCCCACTGGACCCACTGCTGTACGTGCTCAGCAGTCCACATGTTAGGGTCTGGGAAAGGAATGAAAAGAGGTATACACAAATGTGAGCATGTGGGAGTGATCTTGAAAACTTTGTGGATCTGAACCTCCTCGAGACAAGAAGAATTTAAAAGATGAAAATAATCTTATACTTTACAGTTGTATATACGTCTTATGTATCTACAAAAAGTAAATGGCAGATACTATACAGCTTATTTCATCAAGGAAACAATTCAGTCATTTCTTAAAAAATAGTTTTAGAGTTGACAAGTGAGATATAATAAACCAAAACATAAATTATTAACTGCGTCAGAAAACCTGATGCACAAATACATCTAAAGCAAACTGCACATAATTATGTAGAGTGTCTGTCTTACCCATGAATATATAAACCATGTAAAAATCCGTATATGGAACAAGCAGAATTGATCAGCGCGTATCAATAATCTTCGGAAGCGTGGACATACCAATACAATCTCAAACTAGCAATCGCTACTACATAACTGCTTTATAAAATTCTCTCAACTAAAGCTTGACTGATATTATCAATAGTCCGTTTTACTACGTTCTTTTTATCGTCGATGCATTATAATCATTTCAAATTTGTCGCATCTTGAAAGCCAGACTGCAATCCGTGTCTTTCAGAGCTAAAAGAAAACATTAAAATCAGCTAATACAGATTACGAACCTATTTTTGTAAACGTCCAATCGATCGCTGATATCGATCTCGATGTTCGTGAGAAAAACGTCTGCGCAAGTTTAATTTGCACATGGACAGGACATATTATTAAACATACATTGGATTTTGGATAGGTAGGGTAATGTCTAAAATGATTGATCAACGTTTGTGCAAAACATTCTATCTATTGATATATTGATTTTGCAGGGTGTACTTTTCATATTCACATGCACCTGTTTGAAACGTCCTTCAGTATTGTATCGTGATCACTCAGGGTCGATATTAATACGATTTATGAAATGCTAGGAAAAGTTTATGTCTGCTTTGAAAGGGATTATCTCAGCTGAAGTTCATGTAAGTGAGAATCAGACACATCGCCGTAGCAGGTACATATAGCGCATGAATTGGTTAATGTGTAGAAATGAAAATATTCCCTTGTAATTTTAGAGGGAAAGCATTGGTACCCACCAATGCCTCAGTAAGCCTTTGGGCATCAACAAAAAGTTGGAAAACAATCTCCTCACTAAAATTTTTTAAAAGTAATAATTAACTTCTTTTGTCCGTTGTTATGTTCATAAATGAACTACAATTTGAAATGATACACGTATTTTGATATGAAATTTCTGCATATAATGTTACACCCCCCCCCCCCCTCTCCCGCCCCCTCTTGAATTAAAATCGCTGCCCATGAAATACGATTTCAGTGCTCTAAATTGGCAACTGTTTTTCGGTCAGCCATTCCAAGAACGTACCTTCCCAAATTGAATACATACTTCTGTTCTACTTCTAAAACAGAAAACATAAGTTCGTCACCAGAGGCAGAATACAGAAGACGCGTGGGCCGTACTTCTGACTTGCCTGTTTTGTCAACACAAGTATAAATTTGTTTCGCATCCTGCAGTCAATTACGGTTTGATTCGCCAAAAAGACGACCTTTATGGAATTCCTCGCATATTTGTACGATTAATATTCATTTCAGGATTTTTGTTAAAATGCTGCTTTCCTCACAATAGTGACCAAACTAACCAGTTATAGTCTGGGATTTTCCTAGAAAAAGTTGAAACATTCAATCAACATGTTTAATATCACCGCCATATTAACCCCAAAATACATATTACTGTCGAGCTATCAACATGCAATAAGTTACAAAGTTGACGAAAAGTTTTGAATATATTTGTCTGTGTTGGTTACTCTCCCTCTCTCTCTCTCTCTCTCTCTCTCTCTCTCTCTCTCTCTCTCTCTCTCTCTCTCTCTCTTTCTCTCTCAATAAATTATTTTGTTACATGTTCCATCTTTGCCTCCCTCGTCCACGCGCCCACGAGCACGGCGCGGTATCCATCAGGCCGACAGACACGGCCGACAATTGATGCTGTTTCCGGTAAAGGTCTGCCACTGAGGGACAAGTGTCAAAACGAATTTGCTTTCCACGGTTCTCCGAAAAAACTTCGTTCCGTCAACTTTGGAAGTTAACCCTCTATTTAACTGTGATATTATTAGCCTGTAGCAAAACTGTAGCATGTTTACAGGTTTTTCATAGCTCGAACTTACCTTAAGCAGAGTGACGAAAAAAGTCTGATAAGTTTGACAAAGTTATTCCGTCTATTACTTAGTGCGAGAACTGAGTTAGGTAGGCCTAATAACGTATATTTTGTGGTCGATGCCCTTATATTACCCTAAATTATTTCCACGATATGGGATACTGTTGTATTGTATCAACAATGAATAATTTATCTCAACAAATGTTTCGATTTCAAAAATGTTTGAGATGTCCCATAGTATTCTTAGTTTAAATATTTGTTTTTGTCTTCTGTAGTCAAAGTACTCTCACCTGACTATTGCTATATTCATGTGGATTTTCTTCTCACTAATATTTTCTGATTCACAGAAAGAATTAAGCGCTTTTTCGATTGATATAGCAATAAATGAGCATATCATACAGTAGAAAATGACATTTATGCAACCATAAACATGATACATACAAAATACGAAATGTTCATCAAACTTATATAATGCAAGAAATAAAAAAAAACCTATTGAGCTTTCCATAAATGATGAATTTCGTCGTAGTTTCTTTAACCTAGGTTCTCGCTTTGAAAGGTAAATTAAAGACTGAGTCTGAATTCTCTTTCGGAAATTACCAAACGTATATCTTCCACCGAAGAGACTTCCAATGCACTCTCTCGTCAAGATGATCTTCTTAATTTCTATGATTTCATTTCATTTGCTGACAATATACCTATTGGGAATTCCTCTGTGTCTAATTCAATACCGTCGATATTTTATTGCACGAATCCTCAATTTAATGGAATTCCCTCTACGCAAATTCACGACAATCTTTACTACGTTAAAACATATATCACAAGGATATTCATAAACGAATTATCCAGAGATAAGGATGAGTTATAGAGAGTAAGGTCACGTGATTGCCAGAAAGCACCGTGTTGTCATGGTAATTATACAAGTTTTCGTCACCCCAGTTGGTTGTTAGATACCGTTCTGTCAACTGTAATTTCAGGAGTTAGGTATGAACGGTCCCCAAGGGACCAAGTTGTAGCCGAATATCTGGACAACTAATTTTCCTCACTAACTTTGTTTGTAATTTTTATCTCCTTTTCCTCAATGACACTCACTTCTTTTTTTTCTTCTCCTTTTCCGTGTTCTCTTTTCTATGTGTTATAGATTAATATGTCCTTTCTCCAAATGACTAGCTTTTCCTATTTTCATTCCAATTTTTTTAATCTCTGCGTTTTTCCCCATTTAGTATTGGATTTTTACTGTCCATGTTAATGAAATTGAAAGTGCCCTTTTGAAGAAAAAAGAAGAACATTTACATCATGTATTACCGTGTTTTCCTACAAAACGGCACAATGGTTTTAAGTGTTTAATTACGTAATGAATAAAACTTGTATGAACTTTGTACATGTTCTCCCAAATATGAATATCATGGCTATATCGTCTATTACTAAAAAGAAGGGATCAATACCCGTCTATGTTTATAAAAGCACTTGCAGACGAACCCACGTCTATTCACGGCCCGCCTAGAACATCACGGGCATTACTCATAGCTGCTCTGCCTCTCCAAAAAGAAACTTTGTTTGTTCCCCCTTCCTCATTCTTCCCCCTTTTTATCCTTCATTTTCGAGACTTCTCAAGAATAGTGCCTCGACTCAGACTCTGTGTTTACATTTTGACTTTCGGCTTGAAAAATGACATCCTATTTTTACCCCCGCACGGCCCTCGGGAAACGCCCCGTAGGGTGCCGAGCGTCATTCGCTGTGAGCCTGGCCAGCGACTCGGGCTTGACATGGCTAATGGATTGTGAAGCGTTCAATGGGTATTGCATTGAAGCCGAGTACAGGCTATATGGAGCGTCTAATGCAAGGTTGTTTTCTGGAAAGTATTTCACGAAAAAACAGTTCCAACAACAGTTCCAAAAATGAATGAAATACACTTGAATGAATCACCTCTATCTAAGTCTGATGCGTATGTTTTCACTTTTTCTTCGAGAAAAATTGTTTTTCTTACTATTATTTCTTCCTAGCTTCTATATTTACTTTTTTATATAAATATATATACCCATTTTCCCCTAGGTCTTATATTCATCATCACATTTGTACCCTCACTATAACCCAAAGACAGGTAATAGTGTTATCGTTGATACCACTTTGAAAACAGCTACACCTAATATTCATTAATTACCTGTTGACATACAACCTGAAATTAACAACCTTTGTGTAAAATTTACACTTTTACACATTTTCTAAAACAGATTTCACAAAACATTCCGATGTATGCATACAAGTTTATAATGCTCTGCGAGGATATGGTTGTTGTTGCCATGACATTATCATCTTTACCGTGCATATCAAAACAACCTCCAAAACAAACGAAAATAAACAAACAATAAAATACCCCCCCCCCCCCAAAAAAAAAGAGAAGATGATGGGGTCTGTTGAGGGGTCGAGGTTAATTAACTATTCGTTGAAGAGTCTTTGCTATCGAGGAGGGGTAAGTCGGGAGGGAAGAGGAGGGGAGGAAGGGGAAGGGGAGAGGGATAAGGGAAAGGGGTTTGGTGATGCCCTCCCCGGGGCCGCTTTCTATCCCCATCTACCATGGGATAAGACCCCCTCCTCTAAGGAAAACAAAAAGGAAAAGGGGGCTATCTGGTAATCTGAGAGGGGGTTAATCCAGAAGGGGCGATGACGGAAAGAATAAGTTATCAACTATTTACTGACTTGCACCTTTAATCTTTGAGCGTTTAACAAGCCTGATAATAGTCTTCCTTGGAAGATATTTACCCCCTGTACACACTTGATGGCTTGCCTCACCCCTTTTGTAACCTTGTTTTCAGA